CAAAGAAAAATCCCCGTTCCAAACTTTGGGCAGTTGGCTTTTGAAACAAAAAAAATGTTTTTTTTTTCAAAAAAAAAGGGTTGAATTTTTTTGAGTTTCAAAAGATTTCTTTTCTCTCTCTCTCTCTCTCTCTCTCTCTTCTCTGGAACAAAGCTTTTTGGCGTTTATGTGGTCAGCTGAGGATAGCAAGGGTGGGGACAAAGGGCGGGTCCTACAGACCAAGCCTCCTTCTTCTCTCTCTCCCTCCCTCTCTTCTCTGCACCGTGCTTTGAGGGTCTGTGTCTTTTTCCTTCTCTTTCTTTTCTTTTCCTTTCTTTTCTCCCAAACAGTCTTCAAATATTAGACTCCCCTTAACAGCTTCAATATTTCGTGCGTAATGAAATTCAGGACGATCACTATTTAATACTATAATTTCTTTTAATTGCTTTCCGACTAGATTTTGACCATCCTTTTTGCCTTTTATAACCTGATTGCCATTCCCCTACACGAAACGTTCACCAAAATTATTATTTTATTTTACCAACTAAAAAATGTGAAATTTATTATTCGTAAGAATAAGAAAATATTAAAAGCTCTATGTTTATTACTTTAATTCATTTTGAAGGGTTAAATTTGAATCCATTGATGTAAAAATAATTGAATTTCATGATTGAAAAAAATGGAGAATCTTTTAGAAACAGCCCCTGCTAATCCAAGGCATAAAGCTCTCGCCTTTTAGGGTGCGTTTGGTTCACGGAATATAAGATTACCAGTGGGAATGTAAGATTACCAAGGAATAGCATTACTGGGAATGTTGTATTTTGTGTTTGGTTGGCTTAGCAGGAATGTAAGATTACCATGTTTGGTTAAAGGAATAAAAGATTATTGGAATGTATATTTGACCAAATTGTCCTAATTATATATTTGTGTAATATTACAAGTTGGAAAATATTTATATATTTTCTTTAAAAAAATTAAATTCATAATATTTATATTTTTTTTATAAAATTAAAAATAAAAAAAAGTTTAATGAAAGGGTAAAATTTTATTTAAACCCTTGAACTTTATATAAAATTTTAATTATAGATTTTTTTTTTTGTAAATCTAAAATAATTTAAGGATAAATTTGTAATTTAACATTCGTAAAATTTTTATTATTCGATGACAGAATAAATATATTTTTGAAAAAAAATAAAAATTTAAGGGCATTTTAGTCTAAAACGCCGGTAATCCAACAATACCTAAGGAAAGGGAGGTAATGACATTCCCGGTAATATACCCCAAAAAATCCACTATTGGTAATCTTACATTACCGGGAATAGGATTCCCGGGCTAACCAAACGGGGGAATGTGGATTCCATTCCCATGGGAATCCCACATTCCCCAATCAAAACACCCCCTTAGGGTTTATCTAAAGACAAAATTAAACTCTATTTTAAAAATTGGTGAACCAATCCAATTCTTCTTCCTTTTTCGTTATAACCATAATTAATTTACTAATTAATATTCCTGATCAAACAAGAAAAAATTGTAATTTTTATGTTATAACTTTATAATTATTAGAATTAATTGTACCACACCTTTAAATTACGATTCTCTTTTAAATTGGTTTAAAAAATTTTAAACATTTTAATTTCATCCCCCAAACTATGGCTCCCAATCTAAGTTGGTCCCTAAACTTTTAAACATTCGAATAACATCCCCCAAAATCAAAACTTTGCGGACGGATTGGAATATTTAAAAGTTTGGAGACAAATTTAGAATGAATGTCATAGTCTGAGTATGAAGTTAGAATGTACAAAGTTCTGGATCAATTTATAATGAGATATAGTTTAAGGATGAAATTAGAATATTTAAAAGTTTAGGGATCAATTTAAAATAAAGGTCATAGGTTAGGGATGCATGATGTAATTAACTCTAATTATTATTATATAATCTCTTAAACCTTTCAATTAAACGTCCTCGACCTTCAAAAGATGTCAATATACGTCGATTATGAAAAATAATAATAATACCAACAACCAGTTGGTTTAGTAGAATACGTCGATTATGAAAAATAATAATAATACCAACAATCAGTTGGTTTAGTAGAATGAAACACTAGGTCTCTTAAGCAATGTTAGATATTCGAATATTGCGTTTGCGAATGGAGCAAACTGGGTTTGGAGGGTCGTCTTTGCCTCTTCAGTACCCGATTTGGATTAATCGTTCAATAGATCAGATACATGTGATTAATTCAATAAAAATAATAATGTTAAATTTTATTGTTTCGTTATTCTTTTATTGTATGAAAATGTTGAAACACGTGGCTTAAACGAAAGGGTATTCTCGTGATTATGTTAAAATGACGAGGGCCATTTACATTGGTTCCGAAAATGTAAAGTGTAAATTGAATATTTTTTTAATAACTTAATTATTATATTTTAAAAAATAAAATTAAAATAGAGAGAGAGGGAGCGAGGGGAATATTATAGTAGGACGACATCATTATGCCTTTTCTCACATGTCCTCTGGCAGGTGTCCGAAATTCGAACTGGTTTTTAACCCGAGATGACTAAATAACCCCTAAACATATGCACATGTTCGATTAAACCATAGAAGATATGAAGGCTATTTATGTCTTTTAATTCAAGGCAACATGGGATTAGAGGAAATGGTTAAAAAATAAAAAAATATATGGAAATGTGAATTTTAGAAAATTATTTAGAGATTTGAGATGAAATATATAGTTATTGAAGAACTCGTCGTGACTCGTGAGTAGTATGGAAAAAAAACCGTCAATGATTTTGATTTGGTATTAATTTTATACCATATGGATAAAAATAAAAGAAAAATAAGATCATAAAGATTAAAATTAAAATTTTATAAAATTTAAAATAAAATTATATATAATTTTATACTTGTAACAATGAATTAAAAGTATATATAATTATTAATAAAAACAAAAAATAAATTTAAGGAAAAATTAAAAATATTTGGGACAAAAACAGTGATAAAACACATCTCGAAAATTTGACGGTGCGTAGAACTTAAAAAGTTGCGTAATTTACTGAACAATTAGTTGGTCTAATGAGATGAGACATTAAATTCTCTTAATAAGGTTAGGGGTTTAAATCTTGACCTTTGCGAATTGAGCAAATCGAATTAAGAGGATCGCTCTAACCTCTGCAGTACCCAATCTGAATTAATCAGTAAATAGATCATATATCAGTGATTAATTCAATAATTTAAAAAATAATATCAGTCAAACTCTCAAGCATAAAATTATATCCTTTCAAAATTTTACATTATACTTGTAATTCAAACATCAACTTTATTATATGCCTTATATTCAAAATTCCTTAGTTTTAAAATATTTCAAAACATTTTTTTAATGTTGTCAATTTAGTACGTTTTAAGAAATTATATTTGAATATTGAGAAGAATGGTTTTAAAAATGAAATTCTATGTAATCTTAGACTTAGATTATATTTAAAATTTTAAAATCATTTTAACACATTTTACAAGGTTTCTCATATATTTTTTTTAATAAAAAAACTTTTCAATATAAAATGACTAATATTATATCCAAATTAGATTCGAAGTTAAATGAAATTTAAACTCTATAAACAAAAATAATTTTCTCAAAACTGGTCCTTTTTCGTTCGTAAATCTTAAACGATTCGTTTCTCATATAACGTGGCGTAAAAATATTTAATAAAATAATTCACTTATTTATAGATTTTTTTTTGTTAAATATGATGTTATAGATAAATAAATAAGTTATTTTTCTTCGTTCATTATTTGACTATAATGCTTTCGATGATTAATAAGCAAAGCAAGTAATATTTGTTTAATTAATCATTGGTATCTGATCTATTGACCAACTAATTCAAATCGAGCACTGTAGAAGCGAAGACGACCTTATCAACCCAGTTTACGCCATTTGCAAACGCTAGAATTCGAAATTCTGACCTTACTTAAGGAATCTAGTACGTCATCTTATCAGAACAACTGATTGTTGTTGCAAAGTAATATTAAGAAGAATACAAGAACAAAAACGTGGTAATAATATATTAAACAAAGTTACACGTTAATGAGAAATTTATGCGTACAAAATTTTATTTGCGTACGCTAATAGATTACACGTTTAGAAACCGAATTAGTGGCTACGTTTCATGTTAAAATGTGTATATCCATTAGATTCAACACGTAATATATGGTGACACAATTCGACGTATTTTTTTAGATTTATCTCGGATAAATTAAAAGAATATCAACATTGAAAAATAAAATTAAGGAAATGGGATCATGATAAATTATTTACGGAGATACAATGAATTCTACAATTATTGGTAAATCGGCGACAGAGAAAGACGACTTTACTCCAATTTTGTTTGCACTTTTGGACTAAATTGCAAGAAAATGAAAGTGAAGGGACTAAAATGAAAATTTCAAAAATCAGCTTTAAGTGTCCTTAAACAGTAATTCATATTCCTCGATGGCATAATGTCAAAAAAACAAAACTAGTATTTGACTAAATAATCACTTTGACCCATATTCTTTTCTTTTCCTATTTATGGAAGAAAGTCTCTCAATGGATGAAATCATTAGTTAACAAATAAATAATGCTCTAAGATAGGGACATTTTTACCCTAAAATGAAACGTTGAGAGTGAAAATATTTCAAAAAAATAGTAGCCAAAATGATAATTTTGGTCGATGTTGAGAGCTAATTTTGATATTATGCCTTCCTCAAGGATTCCAATGTTATCAAGTCACAATATCGGTAATTTCATATTCTCATAAGTGTGTTACTAGTTCACAGGACACCCCTACCATGGATATTATAACACAGTTCCATTATCGAAAGCTGCAATACGGTTTTGTACAAGCCTAGAGGGGACTACATTCACAACTGTACTTTCAATTATTCCTGAGGTTCCTAATATGTTTTTGCTTCTTTCCCATTCTTTTTAGTCCCCATTACAGGTTTAGTACTCTTGTCTCACCTTTTCTTTGAGGAAGCACCATAAGCAGCGGTAAATATACAGACGGCGGTGGTGATAACTAGAAGATAAGAACTGCTGTTGTGATTATTACAGCAACTGTACATATCATTGCCTGCAAAAGGTAATGACTAGAATTAGAAATCAAAGATAACTTTTTGTAATTTCTTGAGTTACTTCGGATTTGATCATTTCACCGTTTTCAGATTAGAAGAGTTCCTATCTCGCATTGAATTGTGTTCTGGCTAAAAAAAGAGTACCGGGAAACTGTTACGAACCTCGAATGCAAATAAAATGACCATAGAACTAAAGAAAGCATTGATCTCTTATGTTGGCACTTACAGCTATTGCGGAGGCAGCAAGTCCAGCCCTCTCCCTACGATCCCTTCGATAGTAGTTTCTGAAGTACAGAATGGTAGCATAGTACCACGTCAATGGGAAAACAAATCCTGGCAGAAGACTGCAAATAAGCACGATATGTTCGGGAGTCCATAAAACAATTTAGGATGAGTTGGAGGAGGATGACTGAGGGCAAAAGAACTCACGAAAACCATCCTATTCCACAGCCAAAGCAAGGAAGAGGTTTATCGTACATTCCCAGGCATGGGTCTTCTGCATCTCCAATAAGTTCATATTCTCCGTGTTTGTGTTCTACCGGTTCTGTTGAGTGCCCTGAATTCACCAAATGCTTACCACATCAATGAAAATAATCAGAGGCTAAGTTGAACACATTCATTGGCCTAATGGAGATGTCCGTAAGAAACATAGCCCGTGAAAGTGTACACGCGATAACTTTTTATGATGCATGAACACAGTAAACAGATACATAATATTGCATGAGCAGCACAATAACTTTTTATGATGCATGATCACCAATCCAATTGTTTAATCTTATAAATCGTGATAATTTTATGCTCCTTTAACAATTGGTTACCAAAAATACTTTGACAACTTTTTGATGCATGAACAGGAATTGGTTCATCCAAGAAAGAAAAATCCCAGCCAGTAAAATCGAATCTCAATAAACCAAATCCATACAGGCACTTCTACTCAAATTTGCTAGTAGTAATACGCATAATAATGTCAAAGGAACAGTTTACAGATAGTTCAAGACTTTCCTTGAATAGTCAATCATAACAGTTATTAGTACCCCCCAAAAAAAACTTGTACTTAAAGGATATGGTCCTAATTAGAAAATATTATAGCGGATAAATTTATGCACGTGCATAACACAACATACAGAAGATAAAATTCCATAAAGCTTGGTTAACAGTACAATTTCACAGCTCATAGCATGTTTTGGGCAAAGCACTGAACTGCTATATGCATAAAAAGTGATGTTGAACTTGAAGGAATAAGATCAGTACTCTGATCCATGTATTCGGAAAAACCACGGCTAACGGTTGGTGGCGTCTACTACTCACTCTGCCTTTGAAGGACCTGCTCTGTTGTGAATTGGGGAAGGAGGTACAATATTAGCAGGTACAAAGCCCATTAGAAAGTTTATTAAAAGAAAATGCTTAAGCCCTAATACTGAATACTGAATTTGACCTGTAAAACTGCTAATACCAGGTTCTACTTCCCAAAAGAAGAATATTACAAACTCAACCAATCCATCACCCTTTTGCTCGAAAGAAATTGCAGCGACACATAAAAGCACCAATCAAGAACATTTTTAATTATGCATAAAGAACTTTTGATCAATCATCAACTATACTCACCTTTCTCAAGCAAAAAATTGGAGGAGGTACCAATCAAGTTTACTCAGAGGCTAAATTGAAAACATATATTGGCCAAGGGAGATGTCAACATGAAAGAAAGCAGATGTTCATTATTTAAACTTGAAGTAAGAATGAGATGCAGAACCGAAACATAAAGAACCTCACACACATCCAAATTTTCAAGGTTTAATGAAAGCTCCGATATTGTTTACCCATCTGTGCTAATAAATTGGCTAACATCCAGATGCATGCAATGAACAGGCTCATAATATTGCATAAGCAGGTGAGTAACTTTTTAAGATGCATGGCCACAGATCCAACTGTTTAATCGCTAGAAATCACGATACAACTTTTATCGGATGCTCCTTTGACATGTTGGAACAAATAAAACTTGACTAAAAGTAAATTGCTTGTTGATGCAGTAGATTTCATATTTGGTTGAATTTGACAAATTACAGATACCTCAGGGTTTTCCTTAAACAGTTACTGGTAAAGGATAGTGCAAATAAAAGAGACTACTGTGATTTATAACCTTCAAGTAGCAAAGTAAAAACTCTTCTGATTTAACCACCCAAATAAGAGCCAAAGTACTTAAGGGATATGGTCCTAATTAGCCAATATTAGTGATGTGGAACCCAAGACCTGAGAAAACCCCAAACCTCCAAGTTTAGCCAACCGGCAAGAAAGCATGATTTTAATGTAAAAACAAGAAGATAGTTTATCCTACCCTACCTCTAATCAACTTGTTACTAACAACAACAATAATCAGATAATTTCGCCCTACGTCTCCTCTAATTGATTTGTGATTACAATAACGATGACGGATCCCTACCACGCCCCTAGATAACTTGTATCTAGTAACATGAACAATGGGAAGATAAAAAAGGTGAATCACTAAACCTTGTAAAAAAAAGACTCACAGCCAAAGTAGATTAAACTAAAATCTACATCCTAAGTATACCAGAAGAAATTAAACTCTCAAATGAAGTTTTATTTAGAATATATCCCTAATAAAACATAAAATTCCTTTAAATAAGAAAAAGTCCTAAGCTACACTAAACACTTAGAGTGCTACTTGAACTCGTATCAATTAGCTGATTAATTTGTAAATGAACATGCATAACACAAAATACAGGAAAGACATAGCTCTGAGAATTATACAATATTACAGCTAATAAGCAATTTTTTTTGTCAAAACACTGAACAGTTGGGGGTTTTCAAAGGAATACAATCAGTACTTTGATCCATGCATGTATCCAAGACTAAGAGTCAGTCAGTTGCCTCAGCTCCTCTCTCTGCCTTTGAAGGACCCGTTCTGCCATGAACAGGAGAAGAATGCACCATATTAGCAGCTAAAATAGTCATTAGAAATATCTCATTTTATAAAGATGCTAATATTGCAGTTCTGATAATTGATTTTTGAACAATGAAACTGGTAATACCTGGGTCTAATCCACTAAAAGAAGAATCTCACAGAACCAAATTTCAAGAAAAACTCAACCAATCCATGACCATTTTACTTGGAAGGAACTGCAACCACAAATAAAGAAGCACCAATGAAGAATTAATTTACTTATACATAACGAAATTCAATCAACTAAACCCTCCTTGCTTAAAAGCAAAGAAATGAAAGAGGTGGCAATTTTGGTAAAATCAATTTTATTCAGTCCAAAGAAAAGAATCGTGAAATCCCTCAAAATAACGCCCCCCCTTACCAATAATCCCACCAAAAGTCAAACCTTGGTTTCTAGAAAGACAAACTCCCGGAACCCTTAAAAAACCCGCCAAGATACAAGGCAAAACAATCATTCTACAAGACCAAACAACCATTCTACCATCATTTTGTAACTTCTAATAATCGAGAAATTCAATAAAGCAACTCTTTATAATTAAGGGATCATTTTATAACTTTTAATAGTTTGAGGACTAAAATATATTATCTTATAATCAATTGAGCATTTGTCTAATCTATATATATATATATATATATATATATATACTTTTAAAATGTTAAATCTAATATATATGTAATTTGATAAATAAAAACATATCTAATTTACTAAAACCCTAAACAATTAATATTAGAATAGAAAAAACTAATTACCGGATGGAAGAATATATAGGGATAGAATTGAGTCGGGTTAAAATTAAATCTAAAACAAAAAAAATGATCAAATATAATATTATAATTATCTTTTATATATTTAAAAAATAATAATAATAGTTTTATATATTTTTAATTAAATTTGTTTTCTAAAAAAATATATATGTATGTAAGTCGGATATCATCGGGTCAAAAACAGATATATGTTCAAAAAATTATGTGAGATAAACTAGTTACCAGATAATTTTATTATTTACAAAATAATTAAACTAAGCTTAGGCCATTGTTTGGGCGGCGAGATAAACTATAAACAATTGCTAAAATTTATACTAAAACTTGTATTAAAGGGATGGCGACTTCAAGGCTCATCAAATATCCTTGGAACCTGATGTATCATCAGCACGAGGAAGAAAGGTCCACGTTAGTATTGGACGCTCTCACCAGGTTTTCCGCAAGGCCTTTAATGGCTAAAAGGGTCAAGCTTTACAGGAATCACAAATTGAAGGGACAGTATCAAATTTAGTCACCACATCCATTGAGTCGATGGTTATAGCTAAGGACTTTAAAACTGCCTGAGGACATGCAGGCTATGCTTTCGATGGAGAGTTTATCGGAGTTGTGGGACGACACGGTGACGTCGATCACTAGCCGCTAAAGAGAGGATGTTGTGTTGATTCAATTTGTCATCGTTCTTTTATTGAGATACGACGATGGATATAAGTTCAATATTTGAATACGACGAAATGTATATTTCATCACGAAATAAATATTAGTAAATTTATAATAATTTTTTAATTTAATTTATGGCGAGATGTTTGGTCGAGTATTTTAAAACGAGTTTAGTGAAAAATTTTAAGACTCGTGAACCATAAGTAACCGTTGGTAATCATAATAACGGATAATGTAATGGCCGGTCATAAGGAATAGTGATCAAAATATTAGTTTGTTGCTACACAAGGAGTGAAAAAGAAAAAAAATTAAAGGAAAAAACAAAAAAAAATTATTTTTTATAAATATCTAAAAAATGATATTATTTTGGTAATTTTTATAGGAATCTAAAATAACGTTATTGAAGATTAAATTATTATTTCATCACACCTTTTATGATTTAATATTAGAGTGAAAAAATAGAACAATTCGAAAGTTAAATGATCAAATTAAAAAAATTAAATTTTAGTGATCAAATCAAGAGTAAGGTAAAGGTTGAGTGATGAAATTTGTAGTTAACCCTTATAAAAATTAGAAGTAAAACCGGAAATCGAAACCACATGACCTACGTAGAATCCATCGTTCTGTTGCAACCTCGAAAGTTCCTCTCCGTTCACTTGTATAAAACCAAACCCTAACTCGAATCTAGAGCCACCACGACTCACCCATGGCTCATAATGGCGGCTCCGATGCTGAATCCGAACCAAACACCCGCCTTTACAACCCATACCAAGACCTGAACCTCCAGGTTCCCGTATCCAATCTTTACAAGCTCCCAACCTCCCCGGAGTTCCTATTCGCCGAGGAATCCCTGCACCAGCGCCGTTCATGGGGAGAAAACCTGACCTTTTATACCGGATCCGCTTATTTAGGCGGCTCAGTATCCGGTGCAGCCGTCGGGCTCTTCTCGGCTCTCAGGAATTTCGAGCAAGGCGATACTTTGAAACTCAAAATCAATCGAATCTTGAATAGTTCGGGTCATACGGGTCGATCGTGGGGGAACAAGATCGGTGTGATGGGCTTGATTTATGCGGGAATGGAAAGTGGGGTCGTGGCGGTGACTGATCGTGATGATGTCTGGAGTAGCGTGGCGGCAGGTCTTGCGACTGGAGCTGTTTGTCGGGCTGCCCGAGGAGTAAGGTCTGCTGCGGTTGCTGGTGCGCTTGGTGGACTGGCTGCTGGAGCCGTGGTTGCCGGGAAGCAAGTCTTGAAGAGATATGTGCCAATTTAAAACAAGGAAAAAAGCAGGAATAATTTTCTGTGAGTTCATATTTCAGTTAAATCGAAATTTTTTATGGTGGTAGGATAAATCTTGGGGAAAAGGATTGATATTAGGTTTCTAAGGAATTAAAATTCATGTAATACGTGAAGTTGATGTGATGAATAATCGTGTGCCTGACTATAAATGATTTCCTCAAGTTTCTTTGTTGCATATAAATGGATCGGAATTCGATCAACCATGTGCTTTCTCTTTGTTTATTCTCATCTTAATTGTGATAAATAATCATTAGGAATTCTTTATTGTTTGTTTATTCATACTCTGTTACTGTACTTTTCATTTTCCCCTTGAAGTGCTTTTTACTTCATATTCCGAAATGGTCTCTACACTCAAGACATATATGCTTATTCGACATTCATTCTCTAGTTCATGTATTGTTGCTAAATATGTTTATTAGGGTAGGCTGGTAGGGAAACAGATGCCTTGTTAGTTGCTTCTGTTAGATGCCTTTCTGTACATGGGAAGCCTGTTTAAAATATTTGAAGGTACTGGTTACTTTGCAGAAATTAAGTTGCTGTCTTTTTTTTTCTGAAAGAAATAAATGAAATGTGGTGGAACTAGTTGAAGAATGCTTAGTTAATATTTGATATCCAACAATCAGCTGAACATAATTTAGTATTCTTATTGTGTTTTTTCTGTATTGTAAGTTGTAACTTTGTAGCCAGGCATAGTGTTCCAGTGTTATCAAGGTGTGTGCGTAGGCATTGTGACTTAGCTTCAGAAAACAAGTGTCTTAAACAATGCGCATTTGATCAAGCTTATAGAAATGCATAAAAAAATTAATAATAATAAATAAATAAAAATCTCGCCTGATTGAAGTTCGTTGTAGATTTTTTTTTATAGGAATTGAAGCCTCGTTAAAAACTTCCTTCATGATTAAAGGAGCTTATAGAGAAGCTCTTTAATCAATGGGAGGAGTAAAAGAGTGCCTTAAGATTCATTAATCATTAGAAAATACAAATACAACCAGATAGTCACCCCAACATAAACATAACACCAAAAGCAACAGCAAACAACCCTAAACAACAACAAAGACTCAGCCTAATCCAACTTAGCAACAACATTAGCCTCAAAACAGACTGACTATACTAAAAGCCTAAACGTGGCCCGAAAGACGCCACAAGAGAAACAACAAAAATAGAAGATAGAAGCCAAATTCTAACATAAAAGCCATAAACTTCCACATGAAAAGAATACAGAACAGCAAGCACATAACCGCCTGTCTGCCACTTTAAACTCGTCTTGACAACAGAGACTGTAATAACCAATTTGTCCATGCTGCTGCACAGTACCCCACGCTGCCCATGCTCTGCTTTTCCAGCCCATACCCTGTTGTTTCTGCACTAGCACTCCACTAATGCAGCACTAACTCTATCATGCTGCCCATCCGAACCTCCAACACCAATAACAATAAACATAAGCAAATCACCTGAAACTTCCACTACTTCCCCTGCTATAGTTTTCCGAAATCAGATACACTACTGAGCCATTAGACTCAAAACCCAATTCTTTCCGGAACTGTAAGGAATCGATCACTTCCTTCTGTTGAGTCTGCCCCAATGCTGGAAAATCAGAATCAAATAGGAATCTGCCTTCAATATCAGACACCCCTACCTCACGTTGCCCCTTACTTTGAAGTTCGTTGTAGATTGTTTCAACTTGTTTCGTTAGATGTATTTTTGTTAGTGAGAAAGTGGGTAATATCAAACTCTCTGTTTCTCAGTATTCTAGTATTTTGCTTTTCTGTAAATAAACTGGACCCACTATTAGAGTTTTTTAATTATATATATTTAGCTTATTTCTATACACACACACCCGTTGTATCTAGGTATATAAATTATAGGGTGTCCTTTTGGTTTGTTGTTGCATGTCCAAGTTCGTTTTAGGGTTTAAAGTTAAAAAACTATTCAGGAATGAAACTCTGCTAATATAATTATTATGTTCATACATGTATATATTATACATCTTCCAGAACTGTGATTATTTACACCAAATGCAAGCAACCAAGTGAGTCAAGATATCCTTGTTTTTATCTTCTGTTATCAGTTGCTTGATCTCTTAGAAGGATGCTGGTCCCGTTGATTTGCCTGTTTGCTTTTTCAGTAGTTGTAGTTCTGGGATACTTGGATTTTTATAGGGTATCCTCTTCAGGTAACCTTATTTTATATTTCTTCTCTGGTTGAGAGGAAAAAAAATGCAAGCAACTAATTTCAAGGCAAGTGTGGGTGCTATTCTCGTCTCTGACTTAGAGTTGATATTGGTGTCTGAATTTGTGATTGGTGTCGGATATAAGTATATGTTGACACGGGCACTTTTTTTTATGCTACAAGTGAGTTAATGGGTCTCTGTTATGGGAAAGGTTGCTGTTGCCTGTTGATTACTTGTAAGGTTGAATCTTGTCAGCCCTTGGTAGGTGTTATCGACCTTATGCTACCATTTAAACAGACAAATAGACCTCTATGAATCCATGGATCCTAAAAGCTCTTGGAACTAGGAAGAAATCAGAACATTGGAAGTAACTGTTTTTGTGTAAGCTCAAATTTAAATGAAACAGAAAAGTATTGGAGTTTGGGGGAAAACCCTCACCAAAGCAAACAAAACGAAGAACCAGTCATATTTGGACGAAAGCATGATATTTGGGGGGGCGTTTGGATGGGGAGAATGTGGGATTCTCATGAGAATGAAATTTACATTTCCCATTTGGTTAGTCCGGGAATCTTATTCCCGGTAATATATGATTATCAATAGTAGATTTGTTGGTATATATTACTGGAAATGTCATTGCATCCCTTTCCTTAAGTATTGTTGGATTACCGGCGTTTTGGACTAAAATGTCCTTAATTTTTTTTTCAAAAATATCATTCTTTTGTCATTGAATAATAAAAATTCTACGAATGTTAAATTACAAATTTATTCTTAAACTATTTTAGATTTACAAAAAAAAATCTATAATTAAAATTCTATATGAAGTTTAGAGGTTAAAATAAAATTTTACCTTTTCATTAAACATTTTTATATTTTTAATTTTGTAAAAAAAATTATATAAATTTTATGAATTTAATTTGTTTTAAAGAAAATATATAAATATTTTTAAACTTGTTAAAAAAACAAATATATAATAAGGATAATTTGGTTAAATATATATTCTAATAATCTTTTATTCATTTAACCAAACACGATAATATTATATTATTGTTAAACCAATCAAACACAAAATATAACATTTTCAATAATCATATTCTCTGATAATCTTACATTCTCATTGATAATATTACATTTCGTGAACTAAACACACTATTAAAATAATATCTGGGATATGGATGGACCTTTATCTCGTCCTTGGTGTACCAGAATTCTCCTTTCTTGTGGGGTTTGCCCTCACATCCGATGGGATAAAATTTTCATTGTCTATTAAATATAGTAAATCTCATCTCTTTAAGTCTTATCAATCAAACATATATTTCACCAGCAATGGTTAATCTCACGATAAATCATCTCATTTTGATGTTCTCTATGTGTTAACCTGCTCGATTAACCCACTGGAACTGGGTCTCGAGTTGGTTAACCCGGACGTGAGTATTTTTTTTCATATACCAGAGAAAATTTAATCAACTTTTATTTTCGATCATCACTGTCAAATTACGATTTTTCATGCGTATCAAGCGAGATAAATTATTTAAAAACTTTTTTCCCTCGTTTGTAAATTTTAATCATTTTACTGTTTAATAATAAAATTAATATTACCCTTAAAAACAAAAATGATATTCTGTTTAAATTAATTAAAAACATGTAAATATTAATTTTCGTATTTTATTATTTCTTTTAAAAATAAGGAATGGAACAAATCCGATTAGTGCGAAGAGAGAGGACCAATCCAACTCAACTATGGAAGCAAAAGAGTTATGAAAGAAAGAACGCAAGGATAGAAAATAAAGGGTAAATTATACTAATGATCGTTTAATTATTATCCTTTTTATTTTAATCATTAATTTTTTAATTTTATCAAGTATATCACTTAATTATTTGAGTGTTTTAATGAATCAATCAGCCATTAATACTTAACGGAGGAATGATGTTGTTGAAAAATAATATAATTATATTATTAATCTGGACTAAATTAATAGTATAAATAATAAGGTTTAATGTAAAATTATATTAATTTTTAATAATTATGTCAATTATTCTGTTAAATATTAACAACTGAAGACTTGATTTGAACACTTATATAATTAAGTGATTTGATTGATAAAATCGTAAGATTGATAGTCAAAATAAAAATAAGAAATGATTAAATGGTCATACGTATAGTGTACCCAAAATAATAGGAGTGAAAAATATTAAGGGTTTTTTGATGGGATGTAAGGAGTAGGCAGAGGGTTACTCAAAAAGGTTAAATATAAAAACCTAAAAGCGAATCCAATTCGTACTTTGGATTTGTTGTGTCGTTATTTTACCCTCGCTATCTCTCTGTTTCTTCAACTCCACGGCGCAGATCCGAGGAGTATCTGATTCTCAGTCAAAACAGCTCCCAAAAGTTTACCTTTTGCTCTTCTAACTCTCTTCATCTGCTTCAAGGTTGCTCCTTTTTTCCCTCTCTCTTCATATCTTTACTGGTTTTCCTTTGGGTGTGTGTGTTTTATTGATTTCCTGTTGAATCTATGTTTGTTGGATTTGATGTTTATTGGATTTGTTTTACTGTATGGGATCTGGATTTGATCTGTTTGCTGTTTATACTTTTTGGGTTTTGAGATTTATCAGTTCACGTCCATAATTATTGGATTTTCTTCTTTTGTGTATTGCTTTTTTTTAGTTTAAGATTTGAGAGATTAATCAGTTTGAAGCTCAGTTAGACTAGCCTTCCTGTATATGTTTATAAAAATATTGCTTTTTTGAATGGGAAACAGAGGGATGAAAGGGGTTCTTTTTGTTTGTATTTTAGTATGTTCCAAATGGTAGGGTTTTGAAAACTTTGTAGTGATCGTGATTTTGTTCTTTAAACAAGTTGTTACTTTTTTTGGGATGCAAGTAGATCTTAATTGTTTGCAACTACTGATAGGAAAAAACCCAACTCTAGGGTTGAAATTTTAGAATTAATCGAGTGAGATGCGTAGTGGTTATTCTCTTAACTACTGATTTTTGCAACTTGTTAAAGGAAAAACATTACCAATTAAAAGTGTTCGATCATAGTTTAGTTTAGGCCTATATATAACAAGTATGTTAGTCTTGGTTTGGGCTGAATTCTGTATTTACTGTCACTGTTTGAGTTGATAAGAGTATGTTGCCTGGCATTAGCATTATCTAATGCTCAGTTTTTTGTACAAAACCTTCAGACAGGCTAAGGTACTGCTTGTGTAATCATGTATTAACTAACAAGTGATGTTTTGTGTTCCCCAAAAGTGTCTTCAGTATGTTTCATGTGTTGAAATCTTTAAATATTTGGTGATAAGAATGTGTTAAACAGTTTTCTTTTTGAGCGTGTGGTCCTGGGTCGATTGGAGAAGTGGGAAATGTGGTGTCTGATAGATGATTGTGATCAAAATATCAGATAGCCATCACCCTCTTTGTATCTTCTCCAGATATTAATTCAGAAGTTAATGCTTGTGCTCTGCTTCTCATGGAGTTCAAGTTTGGCTCTTCTTTTACATAATTCTCAATATGGAAAAGGCATTGGCCTTAATTTACTGAAGAGTGATAAGAGTGTGGATTGGAGAAGTTGGAAACGTGGTGTCTGATAGAGGATTGTGATCAAAATATCAGACAGACATCTCCCTCTTTGTATCTTCTCCAGATATTAAACCAGAAGTTAATGCTTGTGCTCTGCTTATCTTGGAGTTCAAGTTTGGCTCTTCTTTTACATAATTTTCAATATGAAAAAGCATTGACTTTAATTTACTGAAGAGTGATAAGAATGTGGATTGGAGAAGTGGGAAATGTGGCATCTGATAGATGATTGTGATCAAAATATCAGATAGCCATCACCCTCTTTGTATATTCTCCAGATATTAAACCAGAAGTTAATGCTTGTGCTCTGCTTCTCATGGAGTTCAAGTTTGGCTCTTCTTTTACATAATTCTCGATGTGGAAAAAGCATTGACCTTAACTTACTGAAGAGTGATAAGAATCTGGATTGGAGAAGTGGGAAATGTGGAGTCTGATAGAGGATTGTGATCAAAATATCAGATAGTCATCTCCCTCTTTGTATCTTCTCCAGATATCAAATCAGAAGTTAATGCTTGTGCTCTGCTTCATGAAGTTCGAGTTTGGCTCTTCTTTTACATAATTCTCAATATGGAATAGGCATTGGCCTTAATTTTCTGAAGAGTGATAAGCATGTGTTAAGAGAGTTTTTTTAAATGCCTGGCCGTGGGTGGAATATTGGAGAGGTGCGCAATGTGATGTCTGATCGAGGATCTGTGATCAAAATATTAGATAGCCATCTGCCTCTTTGTATCTTCTCCTGATATTAAATCAGAAGTCAATGCTTGTGCTTCGCTTGTCATGGAGTGCAAGTTTGGCTCTTCTTTTACATCTTCCTTAATATGGAAAGGCATGAACCTTAATTGTACTCAACATTTTCATCATTAAGAATATATCTTTTGGTGCTTGTATGGTAGGCAACTTCTTGATTTGTTCATCACTATCCTGTGATATTCATAAACTGAGAACTTTTAATTTGTCAAACTATGCTTAATAGCTTGATTGTTCTTTCTTGCCTCTGCAGTCATGGCGGGTTTAGCACCAGAAGGATCCCAATTTGATTCTCGTCAGTATGATCAGAAAATGACTGAATTGTAAGTTTTTTTGTTTGTAGGCCACACATGCTTTTCTCTCTTTATGTTATTTGTTTATAAATATATATAATGCTCTTTGCTTTACCATTTGCTTATGCTTATGTGTTCAATACATACAGACTCCAGACTGATGGAGATGATTTCTTCACGAGTTATGATGAAGTTTATGATAGTTTTGACGCAATGGGACTTCAAGAAAACCTTCTGAGGGGTATCTATGCATATGGTATGCAGTACATTAAATCTTAATTATGTAATCTGGTTCTGTAAATTCTTCAAGTATCAGTGCCATTTATTCGGAGTAAGATAATATTATTATATGTTTTATTGTTGCTAATTTATGTTGAATCTGTATTCCCTTGTCCAAACTACTTTCGTAGGTTTCGAGAAGCCTTCTGCTATCCAGCAAAGAGGAATAGTTCCATTCTGCAAGGGTCTTGATGTGATTCAGCAGGCACAATCTGGAACTGGGAAGACTGCGACTTTCTGCTCTGGAATTCTACAGCAACTTGACTATGCTGTAGTCCAATGCCAGGCTCTGGTTTTGGCACCCACTAGGGAGTTGGCACAACAGATTGAGAAAGTGATGCGAGCACTTGGTGATTACCTTGGCGTTAAGGTCCATGCTTGTGTTGGTGGGACAAGTGTTCGGGAGGATCAGCGCATTCTCCAAAGTGGTGTTCATGTTGTTGTCGGAACACCTGGTCGTGTCTTTGACATGTTGAGAAGGCAATCACTTCGTCCAGATTACATTAAGATGTTTGTTTTGGATGAGGCTGATGAGATGCTTTCCCGTGGTTTCAAGGACCAGGTTAGTTATTTCATCATGTTATCTTCCCTTTTTAATGGTTCTGAGTTTTGAGAGCTTATAGGCTTTGATCTTTTTTAGCTCTAATAGTGTATGTTATGTCTTTCAGATATATGATATCTTCCAGTTGCTTCCAGCCAAGATTCAGGTTGGAGTATTTTCGGCCACAATGCCACCGGAAGCCCTTGAGATTACTAGGAAATTCATGAATAAACCTGTGAGAATTTTGGTTAAGCGCGACGAGTTAACCCTAGAGGGTATCAAGCAGTTCTATGTGAATGTTGAGAAGGAAGAGTGGAAGCTTGAAACACTCTGTGATCTCTATGAGACCCTGGCCATTACCCAGAGTGTCATTTTCGTGAACACAAGGCGAAAGGTCGACTGGCTGACCGACAAGATGCGAAGTCGTGACCACACCGTATCTGCCACCCATGGAGACATGGACCAGAATACCCGTGACATCATCATGCGTGAATTCCGCTCTGGTTCCTCTCGTGTTCTCATCACCACCGATCTCCTGGCTCGTGGTATTGACGTGCAGCAAGTCTCTCTTGTAATAAACTATGATCTGCCGACTCAACCAGAAAATTACCTCCATCGCATTGGACGAAGTGGGAGGTTTGGAAGAAAAGGTGTGGCCATCAACTTTGTGACTGTGGATGATGAGAGAATGCTGTTTGACATCCAGAAATTTTACAACGTAATCATCGAGGAGCTTCCATCAAACGTTGCTGATCTCCTTTGAAGAGATTACCCTTTTTGAAGATTGTTGTTGAGGCAAGGTGGTTTTGTTACTTTTGCAAGTCCTATTTAACTTGCCCTTTTTCTTGTTGTTTTTGGTATCTAGTGTCTTAAGTTACTGTTCTTAAACTTATCTGACCATCTAATGGCATGGGTTCTGCACAATAGCTCCATAAAGATTGTCCAGTTTTGCTCACTCCTTTGTGGTGGGCTTAATATGTTATTCCTAGTTTTTATGCATAAGGTAGGGTGTTTTTTGAGTTGTATGTCTTTTCTTTTAGTTATATTTTAAAAATCTATATGTATGAAAATTTTGAAATCCTCATTCTCTTCTAATCTTCACCTAAGCTTGGAAATAACTACACTAATCCATCCAACCATGAAATTATTCTTCAATTCTTGCAAATGATTAATGGATTCTCAGTTCTGCAGATTGGACCCCACAAAAGCATCATTAAACGGTCCAAATGCTGTAAAAGTTTAGACAGACTTTTTTTTCATTTCATTCACTTAATCAAACATTAATAACCATTCCACGTGGCAAATACCCAGCAATGAACGTTCAAAGTTGGCTTTAGCTGCCCCATAATGTGCAACCTCAACTGTCTTATAACGTGTGATTCTTTAAGAAGAAAAAGTCACGTCATCTCTTCACAATAATTAACAGCTACACATTTATTTCCTCCACTGCTGTACCCTTCATCCTTGAACACTCTTTGTTACAATTTCATACATTTTTCTTTTATTTATCTTGATGGAGCAGTTTAGATCCAAATCATGCAAGGATGGTGGAGAAAGGCAAATGGAAAGTTACAATGGAGGAGGGCCAAGGAACATGCATGACCTGAGGTCTTACAGTGCAAGTTCTGCAAATTCTGCTCAACAAAACCAGCTTGGGAAGGAGATAAAGATTAAGAAGAACAAAAGCTCATTTGGGTCTTCTTCAAAAAGCTGGAGCTTTACTGATCCTGAGCTGCAGAGGAAGAAAAGGGTTGCTAGCTACAAGGTTTATGCAGTTGAAGGCAAGATGAAAGGGTCTTTGAGGAAGAGTTTCAGGTGGATCAAGGACACTTATACCCAAGTTGTCTATGGCTGGCAGTGACCCATGGCCATGGACAATATCTTGGTTTCTCTCTCTTTTTTTCTTTCTATTTTGTGTCGTGTGAGGTTTATGCGTTACCATGTTGGTGAATGATTGATGAAAAACTTGAGATTTAGGGGAATGTTTGCCATCTATTTAAGAAGCTTGAATCTGATATTTTCATAAACTATGGAATGTGGACATTGGTGTTCTTGGATGAGTTTCTACACATTATGAATTTTTGTATTTTTAAAGAACCGTGTTATTGGTTTCTTAGGTATTCATTGATATTGTAATTACATTAGCCTGGTTCATGGATTATGGGGCTAAGGTTGAAACATTGAATCAAGAGCAACATTTTCAACATCAGACTAATATTGAAAGAACAGTATCTGTCGGTCGTTTGAACCCTGGTACATAGTACTCCTGCCATCAACTAATAATACAGGAAACCGGATCACCAACAGCTGCTGAGTTCACTTGCAACCGAGTCATGTTGAGATCTCCTCTGAGATAATATTCTTTTACCAGCAAAAACAAACATTTAGGGGCAATCCCTCGTACGATCCCTTTTCTTGCTGTTTACCTAAACAGGTGGCCATTGAAGTTGAGTTTGACTGATACTTGAGCCCATCACAACCTGCTGATGCATAGTCCAACATATTATTGATGGCAACCATATCATTGCAAGAAAAATTAAATGCGAATTCATAGTTTTTGAATCGCCACCACCTAACAATTCACAATCAATATCCGGATGGGAGGTCAAACCGGTGTTATCCCGACCTCGAAGGTTAGATCCAACAGTTGTACTACTTGGGCCGACTGATTTAATGATATTATTTTATACTCGTTCGGATTCAAGTAGGGCAAAAGCTTGGAGTTGCTTCAAATCCTACTTTTTTCATTTACATCTGCAAGTTTCAACATTCTACATTATACAAGAGGTTAAATCAACTAGCCAAAGATAAGGCAAGTCTTAAACAACGATGAAACGCATCTTCCGACTACTTTTTTCACAGGCCACAGCTATTACATTTGTGTAATCAACTAATGAATAACTCGCCGATAATTGAAACAAGGCCTCAATGTGATACGGCAGATGGCAGGAAAAAGAAAGAACCCTAAACTTCAAAAAGAAACTAGATTGAGTGAGCATTGCTATGATGAACGGGATGAACGGCCGGACTCTGAATTTCAGAAGACGGTTGCTTTCTTTGCAACTTCACTTTGAACTGCCTGATCTTTGCATCTACCCTAGCTGTGAACCCAATCATGGTCTTTTGCCTAGCCTTTGATCGCTCCCTAGTCCACATGCGTTGATCCTCGACATCTTTCTTGTAATACTTGATCTCTTGGATGATATGATGATCCAATGGGTGGAAACATCTTTGGTAAGATATATGGGCCAAGTATGGGAGATTACAGGAGACGGTTACCAAGAGGGTGGCCGTCCAATAGATGGGTGCCGGAGCGAGAGCTTCCACAAGAAGTTGGTAGGCGTTACCAGAAATAGTGGGTGATAGCATGCCGTAAACAAAGAAAAAAAGATACCACATGGCGATGCTGCCCCATATGAAGAGGTGTTGGATCCATGTGAAGTGGCTCATCGAGAATGCAATCTGGCAATTGAGCACCCAAATGATGCAAGTGAACATTGTTGTCCCCAAGGCAGCCATATCAGCAGTCTGTCCTCCAGCACGAAAAGCTTGATCGCAGAAGATGATAATATTGAGGAAGAAAATAATGAGAGAGGAATATAGACCGTTTCCCATCCACCCGAGTATCTTATACCAGTTGAAAAACAAATTTTTAGGTCCTTGCTGATATAATGCAGGAAACTACAACACAAATAGGCATAGAGAATGTTATAGTCTCTAGTAGCATGGACGAAATTTGTAAATATGAAAGTTGTTTCAGTCTTACCTGTAAGCAGACCTCGGAAGAAACATCTTGCTCAAAAACTCCTAGCGAGATTACAGGCAATGATGTAAGAACAACATTGAACAGTAACATGTACCAGTCATCGTAAACTGATTGTCCAGAAAATCCTGCGAATGCCTCAAAGTAGAAGAGGGTGAGGCCAAATGCTATGTTCTTGAAGAAGAAATAGCAAACCTGAAGACCAAAGTCGTACCGAATCAGAGGTCAACCAAGCATAATTCAGAAAGAGTGCAAGAAATGAAAATTGCAGGTAATCCCTTATTATTACCATCTGTGCAATCCTCTTATAACACCAGTGTCCATGGACAACAAGAAGCCTTTCCAAGAAACGGAATTGGGCAATAGAGAAGTCACTGGCCATTACAGCCTGCAAAAGGGAACAAGTTACGAAAATCACTAACATGCAAACATTTCTAAAAATGGTCCAAAGAAGCCTAACAAAAATTTCTCGCGACGATGATGGATGTGCATAAACTGCTAAGGTTTACATCTATTACTAATTGAAAGAAAGAGCAGCCAACAAGAATCATTAAGCTCATATACATATATGTGTCTGTGTGTGTGAGTCACGAGTATATAAAAGGACCAAAGGAGCAAATTCCCATATATAAAGATACATATCTATGCTCTTCAAAATTCATAATATAAATAGCCTTAAATATAAAACTAAGAAAAAGATTCATTTGCTACTAGCATTACAGGAATATATATTGCAACAGCAAGAAGAGAGAGAGATGTTTACCAACCTGCATACCTTCCACGCCACTGATGCCAACTCCAATGTCAGCTTCTTTAATCATTCCAACATCATTTGCACCATCACCAATAGCTAAGGTGGTTTTCCCAGTTCCTTCTTTTACTAATCTTGTTACCTGGTACCAAAAAAAAATTACAAAATAAATATAAGATATGATGAGATCTCCACCATCAGGAGTGTCATCTGATTTGATCCTTTAAAAGCTTAGAACAGGCTGCGAGGAAAGGAAAAATATATCTTACAAGTGCCTTCTGCTTGGGAGACACACGACAGCATACAACAGATGCACACTGAACGGCTAAGACTAAGAAGTGCTGTTTCATATCATCTTCCAAGGCATATGCAAGAGTCTTTCCGTCAACGATCAATGCAAATGCAGCATGTGGATCTTTTTCATGTTTAATCATATGTGAAGCATTGGTAATTTGCAACATTATGTTCTCCTTAACTACCTAACCAAAAACAAAAGCGAAAGAGTCTGACATTAATGAAAACAATTTCCTGAAGAAAAATTCCTTGTCTTTCACGGAAAAAGAAAAATTACATACCTCTCTAGCATCTGAACTAATGGCTGTAATACAGATCTGCTTCATGCCTTGCCTAAGCAGACTGCAAGCATATCTGCATCACAAAAAGAAACTTTAACTAAATTGCTTTCATAGAGCATCTTTCCATCAAAAATCCAATTTCAGGTTCCGATTAGAAGAGGTAAAATAAAGTAATATTGAATGGAAAGAGACAGACCCTATATTAATGGCAGTTTCGACCTTGTCCCCTGTCAAAACCCAGATCTTCAGACCAGCCTGTGCAAGTCTATCTATACATTGGGGTACCTGAAATGAAGAGAAGTTGAAACAGGTTTGCATACACCAAAAAAGAAGTTTCTTAGAGAAAGCAGGCCGGAAGAACACATACCCCCTTTTGCAATTTGTCTTCCACTGCAGTAGCACCAACGAGAATCAAATCCCTCTCCATCATCTCTGCGACATTTTCAAGCATTGTATCTCTATCTGCCCCAATTGAAGTTTTTGCTTTCTGAAATTCATCATTCCAAGCAGAGTACTCAGACTCCCCAAGCCTTTTATAAGCCAGTGCCAACGTTCGCAATCCACCTTCTCCATACTCATTCAAATGCCTAGTGGTATCTTCAACATACAATCTTCCATTCTTTGATAGCTTGTAAAAATAATACTACACCAAAAAGAGTAAAAATAAATCAGTAAAACAAAAATCATCATCCCATTAAAGATACAAACTGGTATAGGGTACCTTGAGCGTCTATTAATACACTGAACAGGTCAAAAGGGAAAAAAAAGAGACTAACCTGTCGGCACCTTTACAGAGAAGAAGAATCTGCCCCTCTTCATCCCTTATAATTACTGTCATTCGCTTTCTTTTGCTAGTAAATTCCAACATATTCAGAATTTTGAACTCCCTACAAGATGCCCCACAGGACCATTAAGATGCTAAAACAAAGGAATTCAGCAGAGATTAGCAAACAGCACAAACATTGTGTGTTGGTTTCCCCACCTGTCAATTGCTTGCCCTGAAGCTGAATATCTTTCACGGACAAACACACTTGACTGAGTTCTTTTAAAAAACTCAAAACCAAATTCTCTGGCTGCAACAAGAAAGGCTCCTTCATCAGGTGACTCTGATTCATACGTATAACTGCCAGTTTCTTCATTCAGCTCAGGTATAGCAGTGTGACAAATTGCTAGTATTCGAAAAAAATAACATAATCACATCTGCATTAGGCTCATTCAACCAGTTCCCATCCATTAGGCGGCTGTCCTCAAAGCTAAACCCTTTTATGGGAGGTTTAAGAGCCATTTCATCTTTGGAAATAACAACACTTTCAAGCTCATTTTCTTGTTGTTTGCCCTTTTCCCTGAAACCGGTTGATCTTTCTCTGTCTTGATCCTCAAGGTCAGTAGCCATCTGTTGTGCAGCAGCAAGTTCAACTTCACTAGGGCATACACCGTATGCAGTACCGGCAATGGAACATTTAAGAAAATCCATTTGGTTGCAGGTCAAAGTGCCTGTTTTATCTGAAAGGATTGTATCTACCTGACCCAACTCCTCATTTAAATTTGATGTCTGTGCTTGAGCAGGATTCCCATTTTCTTCATCATACATTTGTATGTCCTTATTAATAAAAGTTGCTTGCAAAACCTTCACCACCTCAATTGAAACATAAAGCGAAATAGGTATTAAATACCCATAAAGCATGAGGGCAGTTATAAGATGGGCGACCCCTGATAATACAGGCTCTGAAGGATTATAATAATCATCTGTATTCTTAGGTTGCAAATACCAC